TTAAGGCCTTATTTTTATATTATTGAATTAAAGATTTTTAAGGATCCGTGGACACCCTATGAAGTGAAACAACCCATCTCAGGACCTAATCACTGTTGTAATCATACTTTATATCTAATATTTTCATATGGTATTGGTATTGATAATGTTGAAGTTGTGCAACAGAGTGATGTTCAGAATTCAGATAGGGAATAGGGAAAATAGGGCAAAAAATGGTCTAGGGAAGAACTGTCTAAACTGGTTAAAATCCTCCAAATCAACAACGTCTATGCTGGTTCCTTTACTGACCAAACTCATTTATTTATTCATTATCCATCAGCTTAGTCTCTGTTTCAGAGGTCACCACAGCGGAATGAACTGCCAATTAATTCAGCATATGTCTTACACAGCGGATGCCCTTCTACCCACAGCCCATTAATTTATTTTCTTTTTGGCTTAGCCCCTTTATTTATCTGGAGTCGCCACAGCGGAATGACCTGCTAACTTATCCAGCATATGTTTTAAGCAACGGATGCCATTCCAGCTGCAACCCATCTCTGGGAAACACCCATACACACTCATTCACACACAGTCATACACCACAGCCACTTTAGTTTATTCAAATTGCCTATAGTGCATGTCTTTGGACTGTTGGGACAACCGGAGCACACAGAGGAAACCCATGCGAACAGTAAACACATGCAAACTCCTCACAGACGTGCCAACTGGCCCAGCCAAGAACCAACAACCTTCTTGCTGTGGGGGACAGTGCTAACACTGAGCCACAGTGCCGGCCCATTGACCAAATTATTAAAACAATTTTGAATTCATCCCTAATTTTAGTACCTTTCAAGGTAGGTTTTGTGCCTGAAACCTTTAAACTAGCTTCCATTAGGCCTCATAAAAAACACACCTTAATCCCAAAGAATTAGTAAATTATAGACCCATTTCAATGCTGCCTTTTTATCAAAGATACAAGGAAAAAAATCATATCCACTCAATTATATTCCTTTACATACAGAGAAACAATACTTGTGTGTAATTCCAATCTGGATTTAGAGCATTTTAGAACCGAAACAGCACTCCTAAGAGTTACATATATGACTTGATAAAACTTGATGCTTGTCGTCAACTTTGCATTATTTAAGATTATTCAACATTATGACATTATTTGGATCTGTTGTTGTAAAGCTTGTTTCCTCTTTAATATTAAGATATTTCCATTTGAAATCTAAATACCACTATCGCCCCTCATTGCTGGTAAAATATCCTTCCTTTCAGTAAAGCCTGATATTGCTGTGCCAGTTTAAAGCAAAAGCTAAACTAAACTGTGACTAATTTAACACTCCCTCACCTAAGCTGGCTGAGAGTGAGATAAAGAAAATGAAAGCACGCTGGCTGAGGAAAAATCACATGCTCAAGGCATAATCTTTAAAGTAAAGGCTTGTGTTAAAATGTATTTTAAATTGATATATATTTATTTATATTTATTATATTTTTATACAACAATTGACCCTTAAATTGTATGTATATATATATATATATTGTATGTATATGTATATATATATATATAGAAGTCTAAATTATTACCCCCCTCCTGTTTATTTTCCCCAACTTCTGTTTATTGAACTATTGAACAGTAGATTTTTTTCAACACATTTCTAAACAGAATAGTTTTAATAACTTATCTCTAATAACTGATTTATTTTATATTTGCCATGATGACAGAAAATAATATTTCACTAGATATTTTTCAAGACACTTCTATACAGCTTAAAGTGACATTTAAAGACTTAACTAGGTTAACTGGGTTAACTAGACAGGTTAGGGTAATTAGACAAGTTATTGTATAACGATGGTTTGTTCTGTAGACCATCGAAAAAATATACAGCTTAAGGAGGCTTATAATTTTGTCCTTAAAATGGCTTTTTAAAAATTTAAAACGGCTTTTATTTTAGCCGAAATAAAACAAATAAGACTTTCCCCAGAATTAAAACTATTATCAGACATAATGTGAAAATTTCCTTGCTGTCTGTTAAACATTACTTGGGAAATATTTGAAAAATCAAGGGGGGCTAATAATTCTGACTTCAACTGTATATATATTTTATATAATAATATAATTTTTTTTTTTTTTACTTTTAGCAATTGCACCTCACTCGCAAGTGAATCTTAAGTTATTTTATGTAATAGCTAAGTATGTTCTCAATAGGCTAAAAACTGAAAATACTCTCCCCTCATTCACATACCTACCTGGGTGGCCCTAATGCACCCCATGATGCAGGCATTTGTCTTCTCAGGTGTGGATCCCTGCATTAGAAATGATAGAGATTCTCCCATATTTTTTATTCTATCCTGCCTTCATCTGGTTAAACTATTTCATCGTATTTCTCTTGGAAGCTGAAGTGTATCCCTAATTTTCACTTCCCATTGTTGACAGGTATGATTCCGTGAGCGTTTTTTCAGTTATTTCAGTGACCTCCCAATTTTACATTTTCACAAACAATGCATAAATGTTTTTTTTATTTTTTATTTTTTAATCAAAAACACAATCAAAATAAATGTTTCTAACATATTATTGTAGCCCAGTTTAGGATGGTTAAAGTGTTATTAGATTTTAGCCTTAAATACATACACACTTAATTGTTTATACTCAACTGAAAACAGCACAAATGTCAGGGATGTGCCTGGGAACTTCTCCAGGCCCCCAAAACACCCCCAGAGGCTTAAAAAGGAGGGGAGTGGTTTCCTAATTTTAGGCAAAGATTTAATTTCATGGTATTTATAAATATGCAGACATAAACTTGCCCCATCTTTCCCTACATTTGAATCATCTTCCCCAGTGCTCCCTTGATTTCTAAATTACTACCTATCAGATCACACTGAGATTTGAATATGTGGCTCTGTTTTTGAATTGATGTCTGGTTTGCTCTTTCACTCTGGGAATCTAATTTCACTCAGTCTGTGGTATGAAATCCTAAGACTGTAGCCCACAAAACCTTAATTAAAGTAATTATGCAGCAAACATAACAGGGCTCAGAGTTTTGGCAAAAACATGAACACAGTCTCAGTATTTCTTTCATTTCTAATACTAACAGTCCACATGAAGCGGAAGCTGTGACTGTTTTTTCACCATAATGTGTAGCAGTTCCTAGAGGAATGGAATATTAAATGAGAAAACAGTGGGCCTAGCTTGCCTGTCTACTGCGAGCTGATTGGATGTAGTAAAGTGGGCATTTCATTCGTAAAGATCAGGAAATGGTTTAAAAAGAGTTATTACAACCAAACGGCTCCCTCCTCACAATTTCTGTTTGCTTTCATAACTGATAACCACACTCAACACCTAAAACATACGTAATCTGACAAGTTAACTGAAAAAAGGAAGTGCATTTTCAGATTAAAAAAAAAAATTACAAGGGCAAACTTAAACTTTTTTATTCTCTTAATGACATGCAAAGATAAATTGTTCACCACAAAATAGCAATGTGAGCTAACAAAATCAAATGGTTAGTTTTATTTTCAGTAATACAAATTAGAGCTGTAACAATGAATCGATTAAATCGATACAAATCGATTACTAAAAGCGGTGGCAATGAATTTCATAATGAATTTGTTGTGTCGCGCAACACAGGGATGTTTGATTAATAAAAAAAAATACTTTAGTTCAGTGCTGAGCAGAGTGAACTCGGTCTCTCTCGTGCACTGATACAGCACCTCAGGTACAGGGATGAAGAGTAAGGGAATTCAACAGCAGGGTAAATCACTAAAGAATCCATTCCCTTATGAAGTGAGGAATCTGTTTACTCGTTATCCAGCTTGACAAGAAGGACAAGTTAGCGTTAGCTCGTTTACCCTTAGAGCGGCAACTGAAATATTCAAACTGAGCTTTGGCGTGTTGGCTGGCACTGAGAAAGATGTGTCATATTTATGTCACAGTTTTGCAGCGTTTTAACCGCCTAATGCTTATTTGATATTTTAGACATGTAAATACACACAAGTTCTAGTAAAAAAAAACATTTAGAGTTTGTAAAATACACAAGGAAGTCTAACAATTCATTCCTATATAATTTATAGATGTGTTCTGCTTTTATGAATGAGGCAAACATGCGGCCTGAGTAAAGAATGGCGACGCCCATTTGATGTTATAGATCACGATCACTTACAAGTTTATGTGAAATGGAATATCAGGTAGTTGATGACATGATGGACAAGCGTGTGAATATTTTGTATTAAAATGGAAAAGCATAACAAAAAAAGGAATTCATCTGTCATACAGTGCTATTATGTCTGCAGTGTGTCACGTGACAAATATGACATGTCGCCATGGACAAATTAAGTATGAATGTTCTAAAATAATGGTCGCCTAAAAGAACTGCTGGTTCTAGATAGAATCTTTTAAACTCACCGGTGAAAGGGTTAATAACAGTAGTAAAGCAGCGGTGGTAGTTACTTTGCACTGCAAGACTAAAGACGTTTTATTTACTCACTTTTTTGTATCATTCATTTTTCCATCTGTTGTCATATATAGCTACACTGCAAAAAGCTTTTCTTACTTAGTAATTTCATTTCGTTTCCAGTCCAAATATCTAAAAAATCTTAAATCCAGACTAGACAAGAAAAATGGCATGAGAAAACTAAGTGATGCTTAAAACTTCAGTTTGAGATCTTATTAAGATTATTTTTTTACCCCATTGGCAAATAATTTTGCTTGTTTTAAGCAAACAATTACTTAATGTTGAGGTGTTTTTTAACAGCTCAGGCATGAGCTTTTTTGAATAAAGCGTTGGAAATGAATGCTTTTCTTGCTTTTTATTTTTATCTGATTTATTATATGACAGATGAATCGATTATTAAAACAATTGTTAGTTGCAGCCCTATTACAAATGTCTGTTGCTTTAAAAGTATATCTCTATAAACTGGAAGACGTTGGAAAAATAATGACCATATCTGATCTGTATAAAGTTCAAAGTTCACCTACTTTTTTTAGTGACTAGAAATATATTTGTTTTTAATAAACTTACCTTCCTGGTTATCTTCAGAAGATGGTGTCTCAAGGCTACAAGCTGGAGATCTGTCACAGAGACTCTGCTGTAATGCAATTTGAATCACAAGAAGCCTACGCAGGCTCATCAGATCTGAGTTTTCCAGGCCTTGCTCCAGCTGTCTGATGACTGTCTTTCCTGACTGACAGGTTAATACAGTCACCTAAAAAAGTAAATTGATCAAGTTAAAGTTCAATTCTAAACTGCATTCAGGCTTGTCTACATTTGTTTCTCTGTGTATCACAATTCATGCCAAAAATTTGGTGACTTTTCCAAAGAATGCTGACACACAATTATTAATTCTATAGAAAATGAGACCGTTGAACAATATTAAAGATGCAAATGAAATCAGTCATCAAATCTGTGCCATGGAAACAAATTGTACAAATCATTGCTACTATTGAATATTTAAACAGAGAGAGACACAAAGCGTGTGCTACATTCAACCACATGAAAGCTGCGTTATCTTTGTGATCTTATGACAGACATCTGTGACATGAGTACACTAGCTCTGTTGTAACTATGTTACTGCTAAGTGAGACCAAACCCCATATATACCACAAAATCCCATTTACGGCACAAAAAATATTCTGTATAATCTGATTAAATGCACTTGTCCTCTGCTCTGCTTCCTGTGGGGGGGCATTAGTGCTGGGTTTTAATGGAGACTGCTGAGAAGAGAGTTGCTGCTGAGGGTCATGTGGTCTGTGTTAGTTCAATAGCACAATGCTGGCAGTGCAGGGAAAATGAGCTTTGGATTCATTCGTACTCCAAGATAATCTGAATGTGAATGCCTGTTCTTTGTAAAGGACCAATACAGCTAAGACAATATCTTTGCTTGTAATGTGAGGTTTAAACCAAGCAATGGGTTGAAGTACTCTAAAATAAAGTCAGAGGCAGAAGCATAGATTGAAAGACAGTGATCTAAAGGCTGAGTAAGCACAGCAATTGTTCACAGAGTTACATGAAATTAAGATATATCTTAATTATATATATTTTAATATATATTAAAATAAATACGCTCAACATCATAACATTATTTCAAGAAGATTATTTACTAGTGTCATATGGTTATTTGTAGTTTTTCACAAATAAAGTTTTCGATTTTTTTTCTATTACATAAAAATATTTCAAACTATATTTTTTTCATAAAACTCTTTAATAATTAAGTACATTTGACCAAAAACACAACTTTCTGAAATGTGCTTTATTTTTCAGAAATTTTGTGTTTTATGGTTTAAAAATAATTAACTTTTTATGAAAATATATCACAATAATACACAACGTTTCTGTGGGGTTCCTATGTTAACTTGATGACAGTTTTATTAAATTGAAATGGGAAAGTGATCATGACTCTTACTGCAGCTCTGGAGATCTGAAGAAGTTCACGTAAAGTGTCTTATTTCCACCCTATTCTGTAAAAATTTGAGACTTCTGATTCATTAGACATGTAAATAACTAGAAATATTGTTAAAATAATATAATACTAAATTCTAGCTTACAAAATAGGGCTGAGGCAGCATTGTTTTTTATAAAAATAACTGGAAGTCTGAAAGCCTTTAACATCTAAATTACCTAAAAGGCGCATGCTCTTACAATAAAACAGTACTAATGGAAAGTTCAGATTCTTTTTCTGACTTAGACTTGATGAAAGAGATAAACAAATCTTTTTTTTCCCACTAGTTTCGTTCTATTTGCAAAAATTAAAAAATTTTTTTCCAAAACAACATCGATCACTTTACAAAGAAGCCATAACTAGAATGCTACAAGAAAGAGAAAATAATCATACAATGTTTACAAGGGTCTTTGTCTATGATTAGCTCAGCTCACCTCTTCTTACATGTCTTCAAGTTAAAGTCATTTGTTCACGTGATACAGAGTGTCCCATATACAACACAGGCTCATTCTGAAAACGTACCGCAATATACTTTTCTGGAGAGTCCTAAACACATCCCAGGAGGTACATTTTTTGCAGTTTTGTATTACACCAGGCATGTCCAAACTTGCGACATGCAAATTCCACACAGAAATGCCAACGGACCCAGGCGAGGCTCGAACCAGCGACCTTCTTGCTGTAAGGCGACAGCACTAACTACTGCGCCATTGTGTCGCCCCTACCTTTCAAGTCTTCAAGTCTTATTATTTTATAGATAAACATAAAAACCACTGCCTCCATGCCTTTTTTGTGCCTTTTTTTCACAAGGTACATATATGCAGGAATCCTAAAGGTAAAGCCCAAACTAATTGCGTGGATCATGCACGCCTTTGTTAATATTACAAAGAGAATAAATATATTTACCTGATTCAAACACTTTGGACAATGTTTGAACAAAATTTAAAAACTCGTAAAAACGTGATTAAGACTTTTTAATACCTTTTAAGGGCCTTCATATTTCATAATTGCTTTATCAACTTTTAATACTTTTTTAAGACCCTGTGGACACCCTGTTTCAGTTCATTCATGGCAATTTGCATTTGTATGTTATTACTATTAGCAGTATTATTTAGTATATGCATATTTATGTTTGTTTTAATAAAAACAAGTTTAGATGTGCCCACCTGTCGGGTTTTGGAGATGTGCATCACAATATGGGGCATAAGAATAGGATGTGTGTCTGGATATGTCTACGTTTTTGGACCATACTTTGTTATTATTGTTTATTTATTCATTTGCTAAAAATTAGAAGTGAATTTAGAAATAGTTTTGAAACAAAACTTTGCGCTTAACAAACTAAATTAAATATGTAGGCTAATAAAAGTAAAGGAATAAAGAGTAAAAGTAAAAAGAAATTAAAGAGGCCGAATGGAGGAGGTTCGTTATTTATCCCTGTAATGCAGATGCTCTGTTTAACTGTTTTCTTGCTATTGAAGCATTCAGTTTTTCCACTTACAAAGTCTGCCATGTAAATAGTGAATGCTCCATGGTGCAACGCAACTGACTCTTAAAGAGAATGGGAGATGAGACAGATTGCTTTAATGCACATTATGCGCAAAACACTGGGTACTTTAACTCAACTCATGAAGGCCCTGTTCACACTGTCAGGTCTTGATGCCTAATTCTGATTTGGTGCTTATATATAAAACATCGCGCATGCGTAAAATTGGGTTCTAGCGCCACGCCACGCTAGCCACGAATAGTCTTGCCTTTAGCTCTGCAAAATATATGAAGTTCGCCCAACTTTAAAATGATTTTAGGGCGGAGGGAAAGAGCCGTCATCACAGCTTGCGCCTATGGTTTATATATGGTGTTTTCCACCATTCAGAGGAATTTGTGGGTATGAGAGAGATCTCAGGTCTAATGGGTGCAAATTGTGGCGACTGACCCCTTTGCTCCTCCATGTTTCCTCTGTTGTTGTTGTTTACCACTTCAGTGTCTCAACATATGCTCTTTCTTCCACGTCATTAAACCACGGAGAAGTACCATGCAAGTTTATCAACGTACAAAACCGAATGCCTCAATAAATCTGGTCTGCATGTTTACATGATAGTCTCATTGTCACATATCCGATTTATATATCTGATTTATTTCTACATATGAAGGAGCCCTGAAACCAATCTCTGAATATCAGAATGCATGAATTTTTTTTCGTGTTTACACGGTCATAGAACAAATCCGATCTGTGTTACATATGATCAAAATATCGGGTTTGGGTCACATTTAACTGGCAGTGTAAACAGGGGCTTAGAGAATAAGCACAACATATAAATGCCCTTTATGCTCTTGCTCCATGTGCTTTAGACTTTTCGCCTTGATTATTGAAATGACTCATCATTCTCGAGTCAATCAAAATGAAACAGTTATTTAAGAACAACCTATTACTAAAAGAGGTGGTTAGTGAGTGGTTAGGCAGTTAATGTAGAAGATGAACACTAATTCACATAAACAATGCATATTTAAACAAACTTGTTTGCAATATAACTTTTACATTACTCTGTATCTAAAATTTCATTTAAACAAAATTCAGTGACACACCACATAGTACAGTGTCTTAATTTATGACTTGATTGAATGATGTCTTTGTTATCACTTTACAAAAACCATCCGCTGGTTTTGTAAAAGTGCGTCATGCTTTCGGGTACAATTGTTCTATCATGCTGTATGGCGAGACTCAACAAATGGTAATAATAATGGTTTACAAAGTAATGTAATACTTTTGAAAATCACTATTGCAATATCATCATGCCTAATATCAGATACCAGAAAGCAATTCATTTTTGATCAATCAAATATTGGTTGTCTGGGATGCAGCAAGTCCAGAGACTTGATGTACATCATCCTTTTTTATAGAAAATTCACTTTAATATGTGAAATGAATATAAAGTGATAATAAACAAGTGTTTTCTCTATTTGAATAAGCAGAAGCTTGGACCCGGAAATAGTATTCCATACATTATGACATAACGAACGGATAGAGCACTAAATAAGTCAGGTTTTCTATGCATTTATGTATTGAATAGCTTTGCTATTTTTGTACAATGGGTGGTAGAATGAAATAAGTATTTGAACATATCTAATACTTTACAATTTATAATCAAAAAATTGATCCAAAATATTATTGGGGTAAAATGTGACCAAATGTTGTGACCCATATATATTACAAATTGAAAAGTCTTTTACATTATTTCCTTCACAAATAAAGGATCGAAAGCTGTTTTAATTGTAGTACTAGAAGTTCTCACCTCCACACAGTTGCTGTTGATGTCCCTATGAGATGTATGGCACATGTATTGTTTAAGCTGCTGCAAGCTGTCCAGCACTGCCTGTGTAAGCAGTGTGCCCCGTTGCCGAACACAGCCTTCCTGAGGCAGAGAACGAAGCTCCTCCACACAGGACAGCAGACGTGTCAAATTCCCTTTAACTTGCTGGTGAAGACAATGGGAAAAAAGGTTAATTTGGAACATTAAAAAACAGATACAGTTGAAGTTAAAATTATTAGCCCTCCTGTTAATTTTTATTTTAAATCATAATTTTTCAAATTAAATATTACAAAGCAATGATTTTCACAGTATTCCAATAGTTTTTTTTAGAAGTTATTATAAATTAATTGATATTATTAAAATTAACCATAATGTTTAGAAATATATATAAAAAAAATCATCTTTACATTAAACAGAAATAAAATATTCAGGGGGGCTAATAATTCTGACTTCGACTGTAAATTTGTATTTGTCATGTATAATGCATGAATATAAATACACATATACTCTTCCTCACCACAAAAGGTAGGAGGCACTCCAGTTGTACACTTATAGCAAAAACACTCAGTAGTGGTAGACGAACAGGCCCTGCCAGACTGCTGGTCAAAAAAAAGAAATTTTCCAGGGCCTGACACAGAACAGTGCACGTCTCTGACCACCAGGGTGGGGATGCATCTACAATCAACACACGAGAAGGTTGTCTGGTAAAGGATGATGAACTGCATGCTTGGAGAATTGAGGAGGAGCAGGATCTATTTCTGGCACTCATGATTCTCCTATAAATTGGAACATGAATAAAGACAAAATTGTAAACTAACTAAAATCTCATTTAAAAATATTACTGAAAAAACACAACAGGCATTTGATATTTATTTACTTAATTCACAATTTCTTTAAATTTCTTTCTTTTTTTTTTGAGGAAAAATAATTTCACACCACATGCTTTTTTAGTAACCTAAATTAAAACTAACATGTACATAAAACAATATGGATGTGGGTGGAGTGGTTGATGCCAGTAATACAATGTCTAATGTAATACTTGAACTATAACGTGAATACTTAAACAGGGATACATTTCCCAAAACCATCGTTAGCCTACTAGGGTCGCAAGTTCTGTTGTTACAAACATAGTTTGTTGATTTGGCATTCCCCAAATCTATTGTTCCAACAAACATTCTCAAACTGCGTCACAAACTTTTACACTTGCAACCTCTAGAGCAGTAATTAGAAACAGTTCCTGGCTGTGTTCTATTCTGTTATCCGCCTATATGCCCTATTCCTTTCGAACGTTCCAACATTTAAACTTGAAATGATAAAAAAAAAAGTCATCTCTCTTAGTTGTAATTTGCTTTTAAAGTATTTTTTTACAGGTCAGTTTTATCGATCTTCATGTTTACAATTGCACTCCCTTCACAGAGCACTTTGAAAACATTTATGTCATTTTGAAAAGCAGCCGTGGCTCATGACGAAAGCTAAAGATGACCTATTATTTAAAAGCAGAATTTACATTACGTCTCCAAAGCTTGTGAAAACAAAACATATACATAAATTAAAACTATAAACGTATGCTATATATATATTTATATACATATATTTATATATATATATATATATATATATATATATATATATATATATATAGCATACGTTAATGGTTTTGATTTATGGTAGGTTATTTATTAAGAAATGTGTCTGTAGCCTACTATTTATGACATGGGCCTAGTGGTTAGAACATTTAATAACAATAAAATAATAATAATCATAATAATTATTGTTATTATTACTTTTCTTAATAAATAGCCTACTACTGTATATTACAACTATTAACAATTTATATGATTTATATGAGATCAGAATACGTGCATAGAACATGGAATATTCTCAATAATATTTGTACAGGAAACATAGGACCTATATGTGCCGTTTACATATACTTTAGTTAAAATAGAAAACAAGTGCATATTTTTATCAAAACTAATATTGGATTTTTTTATGCATATTTGTGTAAAACAATATAATTGTATACAAAAAAATAATGGGCATCTTCTTTAAAGAAGAAGATACTTCGCCCCGTTTAGAGCGTCATTATGGAGGTTTTACCTTAAAACTAACTTAGTTCAAACGATGGATTTGTGAAAGAGAAACTATGGGTTTGGAGAAACACTAGTCACTATGATAGTTCAGCTATGAGTTATGTCGTTGTTTGGGAAACACACCCCAGGACAGAATGTATTGTAATATTACCACAATAATGGAACATTATAGAGTTAATCACAGTCAATATGAACAAAATGTTCCTCTGAGGAAAAAAAAGAAGAAGACTGAAAAATAGACTCCATTCCTTTTTTCAAAAGCAATGAAACAAAGAGCGATATTGTTGGCTATATCAGGGCAGATGGGGCAAATTGGTTAAATAAGGCACCAGCTCTTTGCAATCTAAGGACTCATCAATGGGATCCCACTTGAAAAGAGAGCTCTTTGAGAGCTCTAATGTTGAGCCTCGGGCCGTTCTCGGCGCTTAAGCACGACACATGCGACAAAAGAGACTTTGTCCGCTCTAAAAACAGCTCCATAGACTCGCTACCCCGAGATGAGCCGTAGATAGTGCTGATGAGAAAGCTAAAGGATGAAGACGGAAAAAAGGAGCAGGTGTTTTTTTAGTTTTCCGTACAGTTCAGTGTTGACAAAGGTACTCACGAGCTGTCAGTCGACAAACTTCAGAAGGGGTTTCGTTTGTTTTCAATCCCAGTGCGGAAGTACAATAAAAATAACTATAGGGATATTATTTGAGAAATATGTATATTTATTTTTTAACTTCATGTATATTTAGATAATGCGACCTAAATTTTGCGCGAGCATGATTACCGCGAAATTCCAGATGGATCACGTCAGTTACAACAGTTACGTTATTACATAATTTTCTATAACGTTACATAAAGTGGTTAATTATCCTCAAATGAATAACATTATATACCTTCAGTTTTCTACAGTCAATGAAGGAACTAACGTTACACCTGAAATATTTCCTCCGATGACTTTCAAACCCGGACACCCTTCCAAACTCTGGCTCCTTTGTAAACAAATCATTTGAGTCGAATCTTGGGCATGATATGAATCAGGTATGAATCGATTCTCGAATGAATCGTTGTTTTTAAACGTGTCGTTGAATTCAGTAGTGAGTGAAGGTTTATAATATAATATAATATAATATAATATAATATAATATAATATAATATAATATAATATAATATAATATAATATAATATAATATAATATAATATAATATAATATAATATAATATAATATAATACATTCTAATGTAATGTAATATAAAATAAAATACAATAAAATAATATAATATAATATAATATAATACAATATAATATAATGCAATATAATATAATATAATATAATATAATATAATATAATATAATATAATATAATATAATATAATATAATATAATATAATACAAATATAATATAATATAATATAATATAATATAATATAATGTAATATAATATAATATAATATAATATAATATAATATAATATAATATAATATAATATAATATAATATAATATAATATAATAATATAATATAATGGCGACGTGGTGGTGCAGTAGGTAGGGCTGTGACCCCACAGCAAGAAGGTCGCTGGTTTGAGCCTCGGCTGGGTCAGTTGGCGTTTCTGTGTGGAGTTTGCATGTTTTCTCTGCGTTCGGGTGCTCTGGTTTTCCCTACAGTCCAAAGACATGCGGTACAGGTAAATTGGGTAAGCTAAATTGTCCAAAGTGTATGAGTGTGAAGGGGAGTGTTTGGATGTTTCCCAGAGAAGGGTTGCGCCTGGAAGGGCATCCCTTGGGTAAAAACATGTGCTGGATAGGTTGGCAGATCATTCCGATGTGGCAACCCAGGATTGATAAAGGGACTAATCCGAAAAGAAAATAAATGAATATATAAAATAATATAATATAATATAATATAATATAATATAATATAATATAATATAATATAATATAATATAATATAATATAATATAATATAATATAATATAATATAATACAATATAATATAATGTAATGCAATATAATATAATATAATATAATATAATATAATATAATATAATATAATATAATATAATATAATATAATATAATATAATATAATATAATATACAACTATAAAGCATAGAGTGTGTACATTAACAAATTTTAATTCTTTTTTTTTTTACAGAATACAATTTAAAAATTCTTCAACTCTCCAGGTGCAGTTTCACAACTATCATGTAATGGGGTAAGTAAAATTATGAAATCTAATCTGTGCTATTCACTTTCCTGCATGGATAAAATTTGTGATTTTGCACAGGTTGCAGACTCACTTACTGGAGCCTGAAGAGGCTTTAGCTGAAGGCTGTGTTGTGAAATCAGTACTGACACATGAAGACGAATCATCTCTGCATTATAGGCAGAAGTCAGCGTGAAGCTCCCACATCTGTTCATTGGAGATAACGGAAAGCAAGCAGAGGCTTCAATCCCTTCAGTGACGTTGTTGCCAAAATTGCCAAAATGGAAATTCAAGCTTTGGAATGCTTGGGGGGAATTCATCTCAAAATAGTGTGTCTGTTATGAAGGAAATGGGAAGTGAAGACAGGCCATTTAAACAAGAAGTTTAAGATGTTTTGCATTGTGAAACTTAATTTGACACTATAATACCAGAAACAATTTAACGTCTCAGTAAGCATTCCAGCTGAACACCACTAAAGTCAAACTTAAGATTCCCATGGCTTTAAGGTTTTAATGGTTGCAGCTGGAAGCATATCTGTCAGTAAAACCATATAACTGCTAGTTCAGTCCACTGTGGCAACCCCTGATAAAGAAGGGAATAATAAGCCGAAAAAAACTGAGTGGGTGTGTTTAATGTTTAGAGATGATATTACCAACACTGTCAATCATAAATGTGAATATGTTTCATATTAAAAGTAAATTCATACAATGAAAATCTATCACATTTAAAAGTAAATGGGGTCGGATCCAAACGCAGCATGTATTAGGATGGTTAGACAGGCAAGGTACAAAAAAGGGACAGATGGTTCCATGAGGGTAATTAGTAAACAGGCAAAGAGTCAAGGCATGCATAACAAACAAACATATAAAACAAACTAGGGTCAAAACACAGTATGACAATCCAGGAAATGCACTGAAATGTTTACTACAGGGAAACAAGACAGCATGGAAATCAGTGTATGTGGTGTATAAATAGTTCACGAATTGGTCCTGATGAGTGTGTAATTTAGGAGGAGACCTGAAACTGGTGTGTTACTGTGGGGCATGATAAGATATGTTGTTCCGGAGAATGGCCAATATTATCTGGATGCAGCCTTTATGATGCAAGCTAGGCTTGCATCACTCAGTGATGCAATGTCAGACACAATGCACTTAATGGAGTAAGTGACGTCACTGTGACAGGTAGGGTTAGGGGTGGAATTAGGTGAGTGCATTAAAAAGCATTGGATGCAGCTCAGATTGCACTCCACCAGGTCTGCATCCAGACCCCTCTCAGAATGGCAGGGAGTGTTCTCTAATGATCTGCAAGGGCTACATCACTACTGATCATAGCAGCATGAAATTAATCTTATTGTTTTATTTAATTTTTTTAAAGGGTGATCCCAATTGCCACTGGCTTAAATTCCTTTTTTTAATTATCTGTTATAAAGTTTATATCTTTTAATATGTTCATGTGGTAACACTTTATCATGGTTCAAGAAGGTCTAAATCAGGGGTGGACAAACTCGGTCCTGGAGGGCCGGTGTCCTGCACAGTTTAGCTCCAACTCAAATCAAACACACCTGGTTAGATTTCTGGTGATCTTAAAGACACTGATTAGCATGTTCAGGTGTGTTTGACTAGTGTTGGAACAAAACTCTGCAGGGACACTGGCCCTCGAGGATCAGGTTTGCCCATCCCTAGTCTAAATAATTGAAATCACTTCAATTTCACTTTATTAGTAAAAAAAAAAAAATTTTGGGTCACAGTACTTAAGTGAAAGTCTTGTGCCTCGGCTTACTACCTACATTTGTTCACAAGTAAAGCATTCATCATATATTGCTGTTTGACAAAATGATAAAATGAATTAGATAAGATTTATGTAAGCCATAAAAGCCATATGACAAATCGTATTTTGTGGGAGACATGAAAACGACATTTCAAATACAACTTTTTTCATAATCTTCTGAACATATTGAGAATTAGACCACCACTTGCTTCCTTGTCCTGTGTGTTTGTTCTCAGAATACATACTGTTTCATTCTCACTGCTTCAGGCAAGTTGATTTCTATTTCAGTTGCAGCTGGGATCAGAACATGAATGTCGCATTTATGAGTGCAAAGTGTTTCATTTATTCATCTCTTTTGTTGCCATTATTTGTAGCACATGGCTGTACTTGCAGCAACATGCTGTTGTTTTATGTGAACACACACTTAATAAGTGCTCTCATTGGTCAATATTTTCTTCATCTAATAAATCCCTTGCGCCTCAGAAAGCAATGGCGTTTGAAGGTGTCAGACGAGGAGTACAGACACTCTTGATTCTGGAGGTCATTAATAATATAATAACACTAATACTTAAACAGTAAGGCATTTTATAATGACCAAAACAGCATATTAGATTTTTTACAGTGTGCTCAGCCTGACGGTTTATCCATTCATACACATTTTCATCATCACATGATCTATTTTAACAAAATCACATGACCTTTTTAATGCGCATGCTGGATCGTTAAAAGTGTTTCCATCGCAGTTTATGCGCATCTTTTCTTATCGAATAAAAGTTTATCCTACTCAGTTATGGGTTTTTAGGTTTTTTATGCGCATTTTCAAAATGTATGCGCATCATGCCTATTCCATCAATCGTTTTTTTATGCGCATATGCAAAATGCGCATAAAAATAGGTGGATGGAAACATAGCTACTGTGGTCACACTGCACTTTTTGCCCCATAGACTTCCATGTATACACATTTGAATGCGTCAGACCGGAAATGCAAGCTCGTGCGACAAGTTTCTTAGTTCACTGTGTTCAAGTTCAAGTTTGGTAAACTTTGACCTGTGAAATTGCATCACATGGCTGCATATGACCTATCGAAGATTAAAACATGATCTCTCATGTTGACATTCGCTCGACATTCGCTCGCTTTTGTAATGTTCAATCATCTTGTTTAATCTTGCCCCTTTTCGCTGTTTTATTCAACAGCATTTTGTATACTTAAACTCTAGTGTGACCACGGCATTAGTTTGTTTGTGCCATGTCCTCTCGTTGATTGTCTAATCCCACCCACCTTGTTATTCCATTTTTAGCTTATTCTGTTTTCCTGTTTGTCTTCATTTGTTCTTGATTAACGTTTCCTTAAGTCTGCTACCCTGTGCCAGGGTAAAGTGTAGATTGGATACAGCTGCGGATATGCACATCAATATAGCATCATTTTATTAACACTTTATAACAATAATTACTATTCTAACATTACTGTGATGATTGGGTTTGGGGTTGGGGTTAATGAAATACAATTTATTGGGTAATTTAATAAATGACAAATAATACTCAGTACAACTAATATTTTACATTACTGTGACAGCTGGGTTTAGGGGTGGAGAAGGGGTAGACATTAATAAAAATACAATAAATGGGAAATTTATTTAATTATATGAATAATTTTAGTTAATTTCTGGCCACAACCTTATCTGATCTAGCAACAACCCTGTGCCAGTTCATTGTCAATGCTCTAGGGTTCTTTTTCCTGTCATGTCCTTTAAGTCCTGTACTGCCAACCTAGTTTTTCTTTTTGTTATGTTTTTCTCCTGAGGGTTTTTATTGCTTTTTAATTTTTTGATTTTTAATAAAGACGGCCTAAAAAATATCATCTGAGCACAGGTGTCCAGAATAAAATAAATAAATAAAAAAGAGGCAAAATATTTTTCATCTTAAAAGGTAGATTATATAGTGTCCTTATGTTAATTTGGGTTAATTCTATGTTAATATAGTGTGCAAGAGTTCATTCTGTAAAATATATATATATA